GACCCTCCGCAGAATTTTAGAAAAAAACAAGTAACGATATTGGTTAATACGACACTTAAAGCTATTAGCAGAAAGTGATATAACATAAAAAATAGCGTCATGTTATAGCAAACATAAAAGTTTTTAAAAGCCCGAGGTATTCTGTAAAACATCTAATGGTGACAAGAATTTTGTTACATTTTCTGTAAACTTATGTGAACCTGGTGTTTACAATGTAGTAGGAGAAACATCGTTTGTGAAAAATAAGAGTTGTTTTCATGAGTTATTTAACAAATATCTTGCAGTGTGGAACACATTCCATTGAATCTATATTCTACATCTTGTGGGCTGCAGTTACCATCATTAGAGATTCCTTGAACTTGTTGAAATACGCGTTAGCCAAATTACTCAAATGTATTGTCTAAAAAAATTATATAAGATTTAGGAATTCGTGTATTTTGTTTTTTGAAGTTAAGCACAAAGCTACACAATGGTTTGTCTGTGCTATACCCTTCACGGGTATCAAAACCCAGTTTCTAGCGTTGTAAGTCCGCAGACATACCGCTGTTCCACTTGGGGGGCCGTTTATTGTGAAATAATTTTAAATTTTATGGCAACACTATCAAAGAAATATCCGTTTTTACTATACGAAGCATAATTATTATATTATCTTGAAATTGTTGATACGATACTTTTTTGTTTTGTCCAGTGTAAAGATTACTAAAATCAAAATTTTATATTGTTTTATCTTACAAGTTTTCATTTTATCTTTACATCAAATGAATTACGTGTGACACTAATTCCCTCATTGGAAATATTACAGTTTAAAAAATATGACAAATTCTTAGTCGTAATCTCCTGCAGTAGTTGTGTATTTAATATTATAAGTGATAGGAAGTAAATATGTACAATTTCCTCTTTCGTGACTAAATATTCTAGATCTAAACTATCTACGAGTGATATTTTTCTAAGAATATTGTGTAAATTCTCTTCTGTACATTCCAAAACGGTTATTTATATTATTTACATACGTATTGATCAAACACGGCGTATATTCATATATGAGAAGCACATGAACGTACACGTACATCGCTACAAAAGGGAAATTGTACGTCATGTGTTTGTTATACACGTTTGAGGTATTGCGTCTACTCCGCACCAATAAAATTTTCATTGACTACACTTCGAATTACTAATGTAGTCTTCTTTGACCATATGGTTGACTGATTCCCTCCGGGAATAAGTGTAGCTTGTTGGTTTTCCAGTTTTTTTGAATGACGAAGAAAACTGAATAAAATAAAAATGAATGATAATAATATATATAATTAGCTTTAAAATAATAAAACAATGATATGTGGTTAATCCTTAACTTCATTCAGATTTGTAAATGACGTAAACGAAATTGATAACATTTTCACTTCACCAATTCAATGTAGTTCACACCTTAACAGTTTATGCGATTTGAAAATATCAAAAGCGTCTCAACCACTATAGCAATTACTTATATCAGTGTGGGGACTAAATCTCCCTTTTGTACTTTATACCTCCAATACTTTAATTCTCCCCTGTCTCTCCTATGACACATTTCCTGGATTTCAGCCTCCCCTTCCTTTTATGACTATCTACAGATCCTGGAGCGTCATGTTATTCGTCTAGCATTCATATGAAGTTAACTAGTCTTTCTAGTGAACTGTCTGATCGCACCACCTTCCCACACCTCGTCGAGAACATCTTCTATAGCACCACCTTCCCACACCTCGTCGAGAACATCTTCTATAGCACCACCTTCCCACACCTCGTCGAGAACACCTTCTATCGCACCACCTTCCCACACCTCGTCGAGAACACCTTCTATCGCACCACCTTCCCACACCTCGTCGAGAACACCTTCTATCGCACCACCTTCCCACACCTCGTCGAGAACACCTTCTATCTTCGTACGCGATACATCGTTAGTGATATTAAAACCAAAATATTCATATTGACGTCAGCAAAAGATATCATCCTTCAAGGATCTTTCTTCCTCTACCTTCTAAATATGTACTTGATGTCTTCCACTACCTTCTAAATATGTACTTGATGTATTCTACTACCTGCTCACCTTCTAAATATGTACTTGATTTCTTCCACTACCTTCTAAATATCTACTTGATGTCTTCCACTACCTTTTAAATATGTACTTGATGTATTCCGCTACCTGCTAAATATGGATTGATGTCTTCCACTACCTTCTAAATATCTACTTGATGTCTTCCACTACCTGCTAAATATGTACTTGATGTCTTCCACTACCTGCTAAATATGTACTTGATGTCTTCCACTACCTGCTAAATATGTACTTGATATCTTCCACTACCTTCTAAATATGTACTTGATATCTTCCACTACCTTCTAAATATCTACTTGATGTCTTCCACTACCTTCTAAATATCTACTTGATGTCTTCCACTACCTTCTAAATATGTACTTGATGTCTCCCGCTACCTTCTCACCTTCTAAATATGTACTTGGTGTCTCCCGCTACCTTCTCACCTTTTAAATATCTATTGATGTCTCACGATGCTGCACCAATGACTAATTTATCTTACTGTATATCCAACACAATGATTCATCGCTATGTTTGAACTGACTACGTTGTTCCACGGATATTGTATTACATATGCTTTTATTTTTTCATGTGATATTTTCTATCCATCACTGCTCAGTTTCTGGAATTCATCTATTAACCAACATATTACAGATATCTTCCTTCTATGAATATTTCAATCACTTGGGTGAAAAGAAGGCATACCCTTCTGATGGCTCACTAATCTCTTGTGAGGGACTGGAATGAAACAACGTTATAAAAAAACTATTAGCAATGTCTTACGGATCGCTTTCAACATTAAACTCTCTACATTTAGAAAGAAGTCTTATGACAGAATCACTTTCGTCCTGTACTTTTACGTCTACATAAACTTCGCTCTAAATATATTTTCTCTCAAAATGTGTTATTTTCTGATGGCCTCAACCATAATGTTTATCTTCAAAGGAAACTCTTGCCACTAGCTGATCGTCTCTCAAACTTGTATGTTATCTCACTTCCAGTCGATGATCCTAATCATGAGGCTATTCCAATTCCAAATTTCCCAGTTGTGTTGATCCAGATAACTGATATTATATTTATTTCTACCTTTGACCAGTTTTTCTGTCTTAGGAAAACAAAGAAACTTCATATCCAAGTCATAACTCTTCCGTTACGTGTCCGTTATGCACTATCTATCGTAAGATTCAGATTCATCACATCTCTTGACCGAAGAAAGGGCACAACCTTTTGGTGGCCCATCAGCCCTTTTGGCTGAAATGAAATGAGAAGCAAACTAACACATTTGCCACAAGAGTTTTGTTTGGTCCTTTGAAACGAATAACGGGATTGATTGTCCCGTTTATACCGCACTCACAACTGAACATGCGGAGCATAATTAGCAGCATCATATCTTTAACCTTAAACCCTTCAGTCCGCAGTCCGATAGGATAACCACTAAAACCCATTTATATTTACTTTTCAAGTAATAGACTCTATTGACCTGCTATGAGAGTTTGTAGAAAGCAGTCAAAAGGTCAGATCAACAAAATAAAAGCATTCTTGATAAATCATGTATTTTATAGTTGAACGTTCTAAACTAACATAAAATGTAGAGTTTTGACGAACTCCACCCGCCTATTTGTAAAGTGGGAAGTTATTTATATAGAGGCCTTCACGTCTTATCACTCTAAAAACAGACAGGAGCGGTCCATTAAGTGAAAGATATATTATTCTACAGTGCATAAAATACGTGTAGTTACAACTAGTCTTCAAATAGCTTTACAAGACATTCAACAAACAAACAAACGCTATTTAATTTTTTCTCTAAAATCAAGCATTCGCAAAACAATTGAGAGAATGAACTCCAGCGTTTCAAACGCTCATTATTATTATTATTATTTTACTCATACGCTGGTACAGGAGCATTCTGGAATTTATCAGTAAGTGAACTGAATATTATACAAGGTAGAAACAGGCAAGTGTGTAGCTGAGTGGACCCTGTATAATACATATAGTATTTTGTAAACTAATAAACCTTCTAACAATGTGTGCAGAATATAGAAAATGGAATTCCATGGATATTTATTATTTCATTCTACTTTCTGAGTGGCCAAATTAACAGTATCACTCTGAGTTTTATTACATCATTCTATTTCTGTCCTGTCTTTGCACAGAGGAGATCCAAGATCCATAACAGAATACTAGAAAATACAGAAAGCTACCAAATGAACCTAAACTTGTCTTCAGGTTGGGGAAATTGGCGTGCTCAGCTGTTTCTGACGTGTGTTATTGCCCCATAAGAAACTACATACTTTTTATTCGAAAACATAATCATGCGGCTATTTTTGTTTTTATTCTTTTCATGAAAGCTTTGTTCCCGAAATATTACTTCCCGTAAACATTAAATATAAGAAATAAGATTTTCCGTTAAGTTTTAACTACACATATGTAATGCTATTTATTTTAAATGATATATTTCTGTTTTAAAATTAACCGCTTGATGACCCATGAGAGTTTATATGAAAAGCATATTTTTAAACACTTACAAACAATCAGCTATTAAACTTTATTATCCTGCTTCCTAAGAATGTTTGTTTGTTTTAGAGAAAAAGGCACATTGGTCTATCTGCTGTGTTCTGCCTCCAGTGGCACTGCGGTATGTTTGCGGACTTACAACGCTAGAAAGTGGGTTTCGATACCCGTGGTGGGCAGAGCACAGATAGCCCATTGTGTAGTTTTGTGCTTAACTTCAAACAAAAACAACAACTGCTGTGTTCACTGCGGGGAATCGAACTCCGGATTTTAGCATTGTAAGTCCTTAGATTTACCTCTGTCCGCTTTCTATGAAAAACCCATATTTAGCTTCCAAGCTAAAAGTTGTTTTTATAAACGCCCCAAAAAGTGTTGTTGTTTTTTTTAGGTCTACCCACTTTTCGGAAAAGATCTAATGAAAAAGATGTCGTCTTTAAATAAGCTTCATAAAAATGGATTACGTAAGTTAAAATATTTCAGAATAATTTTTTTATTTGATTACTTTTAAGCATAAAGCTATACAATAGGCTGTCTGCGATGTGGTCACTACAGATATCAAATCTGGATTAAAAGCGTATAAGTCATCAAGCTTATTGTTCAGTCACATAGGGAAGGGAGGAACTTCAGTTGGATGAAAAAATGCTTATTTCATCACTAAAACCTGTCACAGAAGGCAACTGCGTTCATGTTGAACACATATAAAGCCTAACGTTTTGGATCAGTCGATCTCTGTATCGGTATCTGGGTCTTTTTTTACCTGGGAATGTCAGGTTGAAAGACCTCCTCCTCCCTCCTGCACTTGTTTAAATCTGTTCAATATTCATTTAATTACTACAAGAGGGTCAGAGTTTAGCTAGTCCACGCTTTCACTCTGACCCCTATCAGGGCCATGTCCGTGTATGCAATTATATTAATATTGCTGTGTTAAATCCACTTTCACTTTATTCGATTGTGTTAAAGTTCACACTTCACGAACAGTTCCAGTAGTTATTGTTCACATTTAAATTTCGGCAACAGTGTTCACATATAAAAATTCCTTTTTTTAATGCTTTCACAGTAACTTAAAATTATTCATGGTATCTATGTCTAGCTTTAGGTGGCCTTAATTTATTTTTATTTTTATATAAATGTTAATAGGGAGAGGTACTTAGGACTATTTTCATCATGTATGCAGAAACGGTCGAGTTCGCATAGTAGATAATTCTTTTGCCAATTTTTTCGCGAAATAATTAGTGAACTATGAAGGAGTCTATCAGTTAGTGTTTCTATATTTGCGTAATTGTGCGTAAATGCTGATGAAGTTGATCTAGGTACTCTGTATGCTGTTGTGAGTAGTGTATTCTGTAGTGTTTGTAATTTGGTTTTGATTTGTTTTGATGTTATGTTTATCCAAGCTGGTACTGCATATTCTATTACTGGGAGTATGTATGTTTTGTATATTTTTACAAATGTTTTCTGCTGTTGCTTCGCTGTTTTTACCTGTTAGACTCCTTGCACAATTTGCAATAACAATTATTACAAATAGTTATTACAAATAATGGTTTATAAACAAAAGTTTCACAAACTTACAAACAATATAAAGTCTTCCTTTTAATTTGGAACTTCTTGGATATCTTATCGAGGGTTCACGATGAGGGAGTTGATTACGAGTTGGCGTAGATATATTTCACTTAACGGGAAGCTAGCTAGCTTTGTCCTTCGTTATTCACCGGCCACACACGCTGAGCTCTCCACGATGAATTTATATAATGTTTTCGTAAAAATACTAATGTCCGATGAGAATTCACTGATGTTAAATGAGTTGTAATGTTCGAACTTTGTAAATGCTCCTGGTCAAATATCTAAAGTTTTCCGATTGGTAAGCGTTATAACAATCACAGTTATAGCTTCTGAAGTTTTATAGCACACTGACTATTAGACAAACATAAAAAGTCAGACTCGCAGTGTAAGTGAATGTCACTAAGCATATTAACACAGAAATCAAAATTCTTTCTCCAGTCTGTTTTGCTAGTTTAGTAATATATAAATTAACTCTCCAACCCAAGTCTGAGTTTTAGTTTATTAACAAAGAAATATTCATTCTTTCTCTAGTCTATTTTTTTAGTTTTTTAACACAAAAGTAGTTTTCTCCAATATTTGTATTAGTTAATTAATTCAAAAATAAACATTATTTCTCCAGTATGTTTTAGTTCGATGAAACAGAAATTATACTTGTCATTAAACAATAGTGTTATGACTACAATATATTTAACTCTAAATTCTTAAACTAGCCTCTTAGGAGTATTCAAAAAATAAAAAATGTATAATAATAGTATTGTTGCGTCAGCGAGTCACATGACCACTGTGGCGCCCTCTAGTTTCTAGAACTATCTTGTTCTTTCAGGAATGCTCTAGTAATTACTAGTAGGGTAGGCTGGTATATATAAGAGGGGAAAACGTGACGCGGTAAGGTAATGTGTGTGTAGACAGTGAGTAATTGAACTGCAGTCACAGGGTATTGTTGAAGTTAACGTTCGTTCGTGATACTGTTTGTTTTAGCGCGAATATTGAGATTAAGTGTATCGCAGAGTTATATTCGGAAAGAATAAACCAGTTTTATTAAGAAAGGACTTGTGTCGCTTAAGTTTCGTCGGAACGAAGTTACAGAAAGTTAATTAACAAACGGAGACGTAACAGTATTTCAACCACATTCAACCATATTCGTTGCCCAAAATGACACGTTTCGCTCAGTCCTGAGCTCATCAATCCTACTGGAACACAATAAAAACAGCTTCCGGAATACTATTTAAAATTAGAACACTTAAACAAATTTTATTCATTCTTAACAAAATACAAATAAGAAACCAGTAGAAATAAAGAATCGAACATGAAAATGAAGATACATGAAAAGCAAATCATTGCTTATACAATGTGCAACCCGACAAAAATCAATATTAAATAAATATATATAAATTATTTAAAGGTTTTTGGTTTTCAGCAATACTATTTAGTTTTGTGCAAAATAATTTATTTCTAGTTTTATTTTTATACTTAAATTTAAACACACAGTATATTATTTTTAAAGTGTAACACAAATTCCTTACTTTCCTTTATATCTCTTATATCATACGGTATTTTATTCCGTGTTTTCTCTCCTACGTAACTTATTAATTGCTGATCTACTGATTTTTTAGAAGTGATATATGTAAATCTCTGTTAATCCTTGTTTAGAAGCGACGAATTTCTTTGCTATTAATGCAAGTCATTTATCCCAATATCAATTGTCATGATGTCAACGCCTTTCTCAACCTGTCACAGCATGATTATAACTAATTATACTTGTCATAAGACATTAGTATTAGGCCTATAATATTTTAAGACTACATTCTTTATCTAGTCTTTTGCGAACATTCAAAAATTAGAACAATATCAATATAATAATATTTCAAGTACAATATGTCCGCCATATCTATTGCCGACGACGCCTTTCGCTCAAACAATAGCTTAACAAGCTGGCTGAAACACGACAAAGACAGAACACCATAACAATTGTTGTTGTAGCAAATGGTTTATGTAAATAATGTTCCGACCACTACTGTCTTTGTTTTGTTCCAGCAAGCCTCATGAGTTCTGGATTGAGCAAAACGCGTCGTCGGCAACGGATATGGTGAACATAGTTTGGTTGAAATACTATTATTTTACACCCCTCTAACTAATTATTGAAAATTCCTATGAGACTAAACAGAAAAATGTAGGGTTGAAAATATTATAAGCCTAATACTAACATATTTTGAGAAGTATAATTAATGATAATCATGCTTTACCAGCTTATTTGTTTGTTTGTACTTAAACACAAAACTACACAATTGGATATTTGTGCTATACCCACCTCTTGTATCAAAACCCGGTTCTTACCGTTGTAAACCTTCAACTTTATCGCTGTGTCACTTGGGGGAGGGGACTCACCAGCTTGAAAAGGCCTTCACACCACAAGAAATAGAGAATATTTTTCCAGTTTTTTTTCAACTTAATGGGAGAGATAAATATGATTTATATTCTATCTCAGTTTTTGATTATTTTGTTAACACAGACAGTATCATTCTTTCTCCAATGCTTTTTGTAGTTTATTAACATGGAAATAAACATACTTTCTCTAATATTTTTTTCCAGTTTATTAACACAATAATAGGCATTCTTTCTCTAATGTTTTTATTTGAATTTATTAAGAGAAAATAATTTTTTTCTCTAGTATGTGACAGCGGTAAGTTTACGGACTTACAACGCTTAAATCCGGGTTCGATACCCCGCGGTGGACACACTAGATAACCCCATGTGGATTTGCTCTAAAATAACTACCCAAAAACATTTTTTCTTAAATCATTTTTTTAGATTATTAACAGAAAATTAGTATTTTTTCTCCTGTTTTTTAGCGGATTGTTAACATAAATAAATTTTCTTCAGTTCTGTTTCTAGTAACACTGAAGCATTCATTATCCAGTTTCTTCTTTAGTTTGTTAAGATAAAAATGAACATTCTTACTTCAGTTGTTTTTTCTTCAAGTTTATTAATCCAGAAAAAACATCATTTCTCCAGTATTTTTTCAAGTTTATTAACATATAAATAAATATTCTTTCTCAGTGTTCTTTTTAATTTATTAGCACAAAAATGAACATTCTTACCCCCAGTCTTTTTTCTAGTTTATTAATCCAGAAAATAGAATTATTTTCTAGTTTCATTTCTAGCTTATTAACACAAAAATATACAGTCCTTTCAACTTATTGGAACATAAATAAACATTCTTTATCCAATCTTTTTTTAGTTTATTTACGCAGTAATAAACATTTTTTCTCCAGTTGTTTTATGTCTATGAACTCAGAAATAAGCATATTTCTCAAATCTGTTTTTCTCTAGTTTTTCATAAAAAAAAATAAGCATTCTTTAATCAGTCTTTTTGTTGTTGTTGTTTATTGATATGCGAATAAATATTCTATATCTCCAATATTATCTTAGTTTATTAACACAGAACTAAATATTCTTTCCCAGTTTGTTGTTCTAAGTTTATTAACACAAAAATAAACTTCCTATTTCCAGGCTTTTTTAGTATATTCAAGTAAAAACACATTATTTCTCCAGCCTTTTTGTTTAGTTTGTTAACAAAAAAATTAGCATTCCTTCTTTTTTTGTTCATTAAAACAAAAATAAAGTCTGTTTCTTAGTTTCACACAGAATAAACATTCTTTCACCAGTATTTTTTACTAGTGGGGTTAAGCGCCATGTTATAACGCGCCTAAGTCTGAAAGGACGAGCACAATCGGTTCGAACCCTTGACCTGCAAAATTCGAGGCAATCGCCTTAATCACCAGACCATGTCATGCGCGTATATTAGGCAAAAAACTCTGCCTGTAATGAAAAACTGGTACACCATGCGTACCGTGTACGTTTTTCTTTTTTCTTTCACATCACTGGGTGTGTTCAACTTATA